GTATATATATATATATATATATATATATATATATATAGGAAAATAGATAACGGTTGCACCGTCGAGATGCGATGGATAGCCAATACAACTAAAAGAGAGAGAGAAGGACAAACAATAAAAAAGGAGGTAGACTCTAAACAGGCATTGTTAGTGAAGAGAGCGACAAGGAGGGTGAGGGCAAAAAGACGTGCCCACGACTGCACACGCAAACACACACACACACACACAGGAAACAAAAAATGGAGATAAAATACTCTCAATGAAAAAAAAAATAATTCATAAAGTTGTGGCCTTTGGAAGCACCGATCCCGTTCATGAGGAGTCAGCACGTACTTCACCACCAGTAGCAACAGCACTTGAGGCGACTTGATCGAATGAAGGAGCGAGAAAAATTGAAAAAGACAGACAAGACATGCATAAGCACACATGCAAAAAAAAAAGAAAAGGGGCATTTCGGGAGCTTAGAAAGAAACCGAAAAACAAAGGAAGATATAAAGTACGCGCTTCAGCATTTGCACTTCATCGAACAGCTGTGGAGTTTAGGTTCTTCTCTTGACATTAAGGAGTAAACAAAGAGCTAAAAAGAAAGAAAAAAACAACATAAAATAAAAACAAAAAAAAACTGGAAAGAAACGGAGGAAAGAAACACAACAAAAAATAATTTGGGTTCGCTCAGTAGTTAGTTGTGGAACGAGGAGGCCTCTGCGTAGGGGTTGTGCGAGAAGGACCCGCGGGCGTGCATGCTACTGGCAGTAGAAAAACTGCCGTGCCCGTGGACCGCCGGGTTTGTGTGAGAGGACTGCACTCCACCCAACGGGCGCAGCAGTGGCTGCGAGTCACGGGTGTGGTTGTCCGGCCCGGATTGGTTGCAGCTAAACGAGCCCTCCAAGAAGGACCCGTTCTGCGGCACGAGAATGCTGTTTGGGTAGAGCGCTGACGTGTTCGCCATAGAATGGGAAGCGGAGTGCGAGTGCACGCTCTGGTGCAGCGAGCCGTTCGCCGCTGCGAAGGAGGGCGGATGCGAGCCGAAGTCCGGCATGCTTCCCTGCGGTAGGCGGGAAAGGGTACGGCTGTGGCTACGGCTGTGCTCGGGGCTGAAGAACTCCTCATTGCTGCCGGCGAGCGGGATCTCACGGCAGACGTGCAGGAAGCTGCATTCGTCACCGAAGCGGCAGAGACCTTTGCGGTGCTCGCGACAGATCTTCGACTTGGGCACGTGAATCAGCATGCTGCCGGTCTCTTCGTAGCGCGCCCAGAGGTAGCGAGTGGGGCACACGTTGTGCAGCATGATGACCGCCTTGTGCTCCATGTCCTTCTCCTTCGCATCCTTTGCCTCCGCGCCGCTGGCTGAGTTGCTCGTCTCACCGTTGGAGGACGAGTCCACAGTGCTGGCGCTCTCCCGCTCGCCCTTCGCATCGCTACAGTTCGCCGCCTCACGCTCACGCGGGGGGTCGATGATGACGGCGAGGCCCAGTGGGAAGCCCCCCAGCTTGCACTTGGCGCCGTGCACCGGGCAGCAGGAGGGGCTCGTATAGGCCTCGCTGCGAAGCTGCGCGATCACCGTCGGGTCGGCGTGCACCTGGAAGCAGCGGTCCCCCTGCCGGCAGCGGCCGTCAAGGTAGAGCCGACACAGCCCCGGCACCAGGCCATCGTCCTCAAAGGCGAGCGTCGGCTCCACCGCGGTGATCGGGATAGACAACTTCGTACTGGCGGTGTCGATGGCAGAGATGAACGACACGCCGGTGGGGCGGCGTCCTTGCTTCGGCTGCGCAGCGCCCGCCGTGGACTGCGGCGCACGGTTGCTCTGGCGCGGGCGCAAGAGAGTGGTGGAGCCGAGGGAGCAGGCGGAGTTCGGGTTTCCGTAAGAGCTCATGTGCAGCGAGTTGGCCGCCGAGCCGACGCGGATCGACGGCAGCGACGAGTGGGTGCCGGTCTTAACGTAGCTCATGTTTCTGCGTCTATCTTCTCCGTTTCGTTTGTAGAACTTCTGAGGCAAAGGGAAACGGCAACAGCGGTGAACACTGTAGTAATAACACCACTAAAACAGAGAAGAGGAAAATGTGTTAAGTTTAAAAAAAGAGATGTAATTAAGAGATTCTCTGCTTGTGCGTGTCCAGATAAATCTGCCAAAAGAAGCACAAGACACAAAACAACAAATTTTGCTGGATTAAGTTTAAAGGAGGAAAAAAAAAAAGAAAAGATAATATTCAAAAAAATAAATAAATGTAAGACGGGAGGTGGAAAAACAAATCGCGAAGAGCGCTCAAGGCACACACGGAGAAAGAGAAACCAACAAATTTTCTTTCGTTCACTTATGCAGTTGAGGACTTCTCACGATCAATTTGGCGTCCGGTGCAGTGTACCAAACGAACCACCTTCAAGAAGGAAACAAAGAAGTCCAAGGGGGAAAAAAAAGCAGAAGGTACGAAGACAGTCCTCCTTTCTCGCTGCCGTTAACGTGGATAAAGAGAAGGCAGCTATACTACGATCCTTGATCTCACCGTGTTTTACAATTTAAAAAAAAAAGGAAAAAGAAAAGAAACAGAAGGGATACGCGCAATCACGTGTGAAGAGGAGCCAAATACGCACGCAAAAGCAGGCACAAAGGGGATGGTCCTGGTGAAGAAATATAAATATAAATATAAATATTTATATTTATATATTTTAAGGAACCTCTCAAAAAATAGTGCAACGCGAGAGTCAGACACACGCAGACGAAAGGACTTAAAACAGAAGAAGAAATCACAAATACTAATCTTCAGCGTGATCAACAACAACAAGGAAAACAAAAAACAAAATCAACGACTGCAGCAAATGCAATACGAAACGAAAAGAATTTCCAGTGCAGTCGTGCCGGCTAGAAAATGCCTGCAGGAGCAACCTAGAATAATAATAATAATGAAAGAAATATCAGTGAGAAAGAGATGAGCGAGGTCACACGAAAGTGACACTTTTTCTCGATTAAGTGCTTATACACTTTTTTTGGGTACGTGTATCCTCTTTCTTCAGTGCACGAGTCTGTGAAACAAACGAAGGCTAATTCTGAGTATCTGAGGGAAGGGAGATAGTTATATGATAGTATCTGCTGAATTAGGCACCTTTTTCTCCCTCTTCCAAAGCAAAGATTGAAGTACGCCTCCAAAGTTTGCTGTGCTTTGAGAAAGAAAAAACTTTTTCTTTTTAGAATTCTATGCCCTAGCGGAAAAGTTTCATCAGAAACACAAAAAGGCCAAGTTGACGAGCGGCAGCGACAAACAAAGGAGTGCTGAATGAATGGGGACGAGAAGACAAAACACGACGACAGCAACGACAGTAAAAGCAGAGTCAGGTAACGCGACGTCCGACTCGCCGACACAGACGCAGCGGAAAATATGCGAGGAGAAAAAAAAGAAAAAGTACTTAAAGGATTAATCTAAAAAGTGTCGCTGGCGGCTCGAAAACGGTGTCAGTTGTCTTTCTCTTTTCGAAATCTGAATGTTCACACCTGTACAGGAAGTTAATAAAAGAAGAAAAACTGAGAAAGCGGGACCAATACGTATCTTTTGTAATGTATCGAACTTTTCTTTCCTTTTCTTTTGCCAGCACGAAAGCGACAGGAATACGCCGTATCTTTACTACCACTGCTGTCGAGAAGAGCTACTGTCCGGCAGCGTATTCGCAATGCTTGTAGTAAAGGAGGTAACGAATACAAGTGCGCAATAACAGGATAACCTACAAGTTAAAAAAGAAGATAAAACAGACAACTTAGGAAAAGAGACAAAAATTAAATACAATCAAAGAAAGAAAATGTTAGGGGGAAAAACAGAAATAATTAGTTTTTTTGTTGTTGGCAATGAAAGCATGAAAAGCGGACAGCTTCCAATAATTCTAAGCTCGTTCAGGGTTGCTATTTTTTTTTTTTTTGGCGAGAAAACTGCAGCAGTAACACGTAGTTGGTACGCGTGTGATATGGCATCCCAATAAGTGTTGTGTTGATGTGAGAGAGAAACAAAACACGTGAAAACGGCGAGGCAGGTGGAAGAGGGAGAATGGTAGCAGGAAAAGGAAAGAAAGGCGCTTATGTACCTGCACAGGCGTTTAACGGTGCAACGCACCTGCGCACAATACACATCGACACTCTGTGTGCGTACAGAGGATTGCTCTTCTGACATTCAGTTACAGGAAACCTGACGGTGAGCATCTCTTCACCGCAGAGTGAAAGTGCTAGGGGCACTTGGAAGTCAACAAGACAAATAGTGCTGATAATCATAAACAAGAGAAACGGCCGTGCAAGGATCCAAAGAAACGCTCGCCAGGGGAACGGTGTTCACCTTCGTTGTACTTTCTCTGTCAATTTCCATCGCGTGAAGCTGCATTTCTAATAGCGACGATCTAACGATCCGCGAAACGCCTAATACGAAGGCAGCTAGAGAAAGACAACAGTTGTGGTCTATGGAGAGGTGCATGCGTTGGCTTCAGAAGAGAAGCAGAGAAGCGATGCCCGATACTCGTAATAACCCCCGCTCTCTCTTCTTCCTGCGCCGTACGAGAGAGTGAGCATCAGTCGGCATCAAAATGTCCAAGGATGCGGATGAATATATATATATAAATGAGACGTGCAAATATAAATGTATATGAAAAAAGCAAGAGCGAAGGTCCACAGGAGTAATACGAAAAAGGAAAGCCACGTGTGCGAGTTCATAAAAGGTTTTCGTGTATCGGAGTGTTTGGCACAACGTAGTCAAGTAATAACAATAATAAAAGACACAGGGGACGACACCTCCCCCCCCCCCACCACCACACAACGCTCACACACGCACCGGCAGCAGCGGAGCGGAGGCATCCACCGACATCTGCAGTGCCTTCTCCTTCACGAGGGCCTGCGCAAACAGGTGCGTGCTGCCGGCGCAGCAGTTGTGCAACGCGTAGAGGGCCGCCACGCAGTTGAGGAGCTGCGCGTGTTGCTCCTTCTCATCTTTGCGCTCCGCCTTGGTCCAGTGCTTCGTGCGGTGTGCCCACAGTGCACACAGCTGATCCAACAGCGCGGCGTCGGCGGCGACGGCGAAGATGTAGCGCACAGCCTGCTGGCGCAGGGCCTGCAGCGCATAGGTCGCTTCCGCACCGACCACTTCCACCGCCGTGCGCAGCTGCGCGATCATCGGGACGTGCCGCTGGTACGCGATAAAGCGCCCCGGCAGCTTCTCCACTCCAGCAACGGGCTCCTTGCTCTTCACGATCTCCACCTTGATGTTCGAGGCCGTCGCCGCCGCGATCTTTCGCCTGCCCGTGCAGAGGCTCGATACAAAGCGGGCGAACACACCGGACGATTTGCGCGGCGTACCAGCGGCGCCCTCCGGCGGGGTGGCCGACGGCGGTTCCCCGTGTACCCCCTGCAGGAGACTTCCCACCGACACGGGCAGCGCGGTCGTCTTCGCCCCCTCCACCCCGAAGACAGCGTACCCGGCGCACCAAACCGTGGCGACATCCGTGTCCGCCAACGTCGTGCTGCCGGTTGCGTGCGCGTCTGCCCCGTCTTCCTCCGCCGCCGTCAAGGGCGGGTCCCTCGTCTCGTAGCAGCACTCCACGTAAATGCGATCCACTGCCGGGCCCGCAAAGCGCAGAATGGCGTCCTTCTTGGGGTGCTTTTTGCTATGGAACACCCACGTGTACCCGCCGGGGTCTTTGCTCGACTTCACGACGTCCCGCACGGGAACTTCAATCGCGGGGAGAAATACGTTGGCGGGGGTGATGGCGCTGACTAGGCAGAAGCAGCGTGCACTGGCGGGCGGCCGACCCGGGACGCGCACCTTCTGCAGCAGAAAGGAAAGCTGCATCTCGGTGGGAGGGCGGGTGGGCGGCGCCGGAACAAAACGCACGCTGTCCGACGTGATGCCGGGCACGACGTTGCGCCGCCGCTTCTCCTCCGTGTCGTTGGTGGAGTGCAGTGTCGACTCCACCGCCCAGTCATGAAGGTAGCGAGGGAAGCCGCGGCCGGCCTCGAAGGAATGCAGCACTTCCATCGGGTGAAAGACGGAGCGGTACAAATTCTCAATCGCCAACAGCTTCATCGCGGCTGCTGGTGCGGGGCCGGCGCGGTGACCCACCGGCGGCTCGGCCAGCAACACACTGCGGACCAACTGCGGGTACGTCACCGTCACCGTGCTGCGGTCCGCGTCGTGGATGGTGAAGATGTTCGCCACGACGCAGAGGTAGGTGACCGCCTCGATGTGCGTCTTGAGACGTTCGAAAAGCGTCTCGCTCGTGACGTTGCGGACGATGACGTGTCGGCCCATGTAAATCGTGTTATGCGTCCACTGCACCGGCGTGGACTTCTTCGCCGCGGCGTTCTTGCGCACAATGCGGGACACGTACACCGGCGTCACTTCCCACTGCATCGACATCTTTGCTGGCGGCATCGCCGCGGAGGGATCTGCATTTTCTTGTTGTTGGCTATCCTGGCTGTCTTGGTTGTCTGCTGCGGCGCTGACCGGCGCAGGCGCCTGTACGAGCTGCTCCACATTCATCACCATCTCCGGCACGGTGTCGGACGAGACGGCGAGGCTAATGCGGAAGCCCTGCATGATCGGACTCGTGCCGAGGCCTAAGCGACGCAGCAGTCCGCCCATCACGGAGAGGGAGACTTCACCGCTGCGGTAGGTGTCGTGGGCGAGGAAAGCCTGCGCCACCCGCTCCTTCGCACGGGCCGCGACGCAGGTGCCGTAGATGTCGTACATCGTCTCCATCGGCACCGGCACCGGTGCGTTCTTGAGGGCCTCGATGCGCTCGAGGTGGTTGAAGCGCAGAACCTGGAAGGCAATGCGGAGCGAGCGCTCACTGAAACAGCCGTCTTTGGTTGGAATGAAGGGCGTGCCGACGGGGTCGACAGTCTCCTCGTCGGCGTCCGGCACGTTTCCTGCGGTGGCAGCATTCGCCTCCTCCTCCATCTTCTTCTCCGCCTTCTTTTTGTCGTTACCCTTCTTCTTGTCTTTCTTGTTCTTTTTGTCAACCTTCTCTGTGCTGCTCGCTGGCACTACGCTCGTCGCGGCGGCCGCCCGGCGTGCCTCATATGCCTGCTGGAGGCGCATCAGCCGCTGCAGAAATGCCCACACGGCGTCTTCGACCGACTTTGGGGTAACGAAGCACCGCCGCGGAGCTGCGGGGACGTGCGGGGTGTCCTTTGCCGGTGCCCGCAGCACCAACGTCTCGCGCTGCTCCGTCTCCTCCCCCGTCAGGCTCATGACAGATGGGTGGGAGCTCGTGTAGCCGTACGACGACGTCGTGGACGACGCTGACTTGCTGCGTGCGCTGTCCGTGTAGGAGTAGGAATAGTTGCTGTAGTCGTAGTTCTCCTCATCCTCGCCGTAGTAGGACGACGAGGACCCCGGCGCGGAGCTGGAGGAGTAGTAGTAGTAGTCGGAGTCTTCGTAGGAGTCGGAGTAGTAATAGGAGTCCTCCGTGTAGTAGTAAGTGCTGCCAGAGTAGTAGGAGTCGCTGCTGCTGTACTTGTACGATCCCGTGTAGGAGTAGTCGTACGAGTCACTGTAGTAGTAAGAAGAGGAATCCTCGTCTTTGTCAGCGTCCTTCTTTGCCTTGTGCGCAGCCGCCACACGACCGCCACCACGCGACGCATTGGTGGCAGACGAGGAGTAGTAGTAGCTGCTGTCCCCCGTGTAGGAGTACGAGTCGGTGTAGTAGGACCCGTCGTCGGAGTAGGAGTAAGGAGAGGAGCCGTAGTCGTCCGAGTAGTAGTAGGAGGAGCCGTCATCCGCCCCTGCCGGGCCCGCCGGCCGCTTCGAGCGCTGACCCACGTCGTCTGTGTAGGAGTACGAGTACGAGTAGGATCCCGTGCCTCCGTTTGCGGCAGCGGGAGCTTTGGAAGTGAGTTGACGTGGAGGCCGTGGCTGGGGGGAGGGGATAGGCAGGGAGCCTTTTTCCCGTACCGCCGCTTCTGCCGGGGTCGGCGTCGGCCCCTGTCGTCGCATCGGCTGTGCCTGACTGTCCGTGTCACTGTAGCTGTAGTCGTCGTAGTGGTCCGAGTAGGAGTAACTGTACGAGTAATCATCGCCGGCGCCGCCGTTCTTTCCATTACCTACAGCCGCCGCAGTTACCTTGTTCGTGTTGCTAGCCGCCCCTTTACCCGGAGCGTTGGTTCGCGGCGGCGAGGAGGGGTCGGTGTACGAGTAGCTGTAGCTGTATTCGTAGCTGCCGGTGTCGTCATCCTTTGCCTTCCGCGCCGCTGCAGAGGGCTGAGGGTGCGCCTTTGCCTTTTCCTCCGTGGCGGAGTCGGAGTAACTGTACGAGTAGTCGTCGCCCGTGTAGGAGCCGGTGTAGCTGTAGCTGTAACCGTACGCGTCGGACATGGTGGTATCTAGTGTGCAAGAGAGCGAGAGAGAACTTGATTGCCAGAGTGCTAAAATTTTGGGGAAAAGAATTTATAAAAGATCTATTGTTATCTATGTACGTGCAAAACAAATAAGCAAACGAGAGCAGTGCAGGAAGTCGCTGTCTGCGTAGACGTCGCCCCACACAATAAAGGAAGGTGGTGCCGGTCGTGAGTGGACACACACGACTGGCGTGCGCTTTATAGGAGAGACGTGAAGGTATCAAACAAAAAGACATGAATGCAGCAAAGGAAGGGTAATGGAGAAGAAAAAAAAGAACGAAGGAGGTGTTGCGTCTGGCCTGCTAGTCTCCTGTGTATCCGTGGCTGCGCAGCAGATGAAGGCCGCTCCACTCCACGCGCGTTCGACCCGGCTCTCCTCAGCATCTAGCGAGGAGAGCGTTCAACAAAGAACGAGCAGGCAATAAGTAAACGATAAAACACCAACAGCACCGCCTCCGCAACGGTTAGCACGGAAGACGAATAGAGGTGCACAAAACAATTTAACAGGTTGCTTACGTTACGTCGTTTTGACAGAGTCTTTCATTGGTCTTTTTCTTTTCCTTCTCTTACACAGTCCATGAAGCATACACAACGAGACGCTGTGCGTAGAGATGCGCGCCTCCGAAAACACAACAGAAAATGACACACTTGCCCTTTTTCTTTTCTTCCTCTGGAGATATGTTGTCCATGGTGTGAGGTGGGAAGATATATATATATATGTATATGTGTGTGTAGATATTCATATAACAATCGGTCTTTTTCTTTTCTGCTGGAATGCCGTTCATCTGCGTGACGCTGGAAGAAAACAACGCGAGCATCGCAGATTGAATGCGCGAAGTTAGAGAAAAAGAAAAACAACAACAATTAAGAAAATAATAATAATAAAACTTTAAAAAGAAAAGAGAAATAATGACGCTCCACACTTCTAGATAATAATTTGACTGCCTGAACGAAATACAAATAAATTCAGGTAAAAGAGGGGCATGCTTTTTTTTTTTTTTGCTTTTTTTGGTACCTGGAGAGTTCACTCCACACCAGTTCCACAACAAACAAAAAGGAGGTATCAGATGCGTGTCTTTTTGCGATAGAAGAACTAAGCTGAAGCGGCAGCTTTACCCACACTCGACAGGCGAAGAAGCAACATCAAAAGATGATCGGAAGCGCTTCCGTGTCTCGCTGGACATTCGTTGGCGGAGAAAGTGCGTGTTCGATGTTCTCTTCTTACGTTAGAGCGCGCGTGAGAGAGAGAGAGTGCGGAAAGAAAAGACCCAACTAAAACTAAGGAGAAGTCAAAACGCTACGATAGGAGAAAACAACAGCAACAACAAAAAAGGATGTTTATGTCGAATCACTAAAGCGATGGGGGTGCGAACCACCTTCCTCTTTTTTTTTCTTTATAGTGTCAGTTGGAACTGTAAAAGGAAAATGAAATGGTGCCTCCTCCTCTTTCGTGAGGAAAGGCTTTTCACTTTTCCGTTGTTCCATGCCGTCAACGTTCACAACGCATCCCACCGGATCTCTCATGGTAGTGGCAGTCGAGAAGGCACTCATACGCTTTCTCTCTCGCTCTTCCTTACGCGCGCACGTTGCTGTCTTCCTTTTCAGGTTCCCTTCACCCCCTTTTTTCTTCTGCGAATCATTCGCTGTGAGCACCCCACCAAACCGTGTTGCCAATGCTGATGCCCCAAACCGGAGAAAAAAAGGAACCAGATTTGCCTTCCCCTAATTGTATTTGCACTCTTCCTTCTTCCTTGAAAATCACTGGCATTCTGCTGTGCGAAAAAAATAAACAAACATAATAATAAAAGATCAGACAATCGCCTGGCAAATCACAGCAGGAGCGAAAAGAGGTGGTAGTTACGGTAACTTGAGTAAGGGGGAGTATGGAAGAGAATAAGCAGATACGTCCGCACGCTCTTGGGCGACGGATTCCGTCTAGCGCCCCAGAGCACGTTGCGCACAAAGGGTCGAAGTCAAGATAAAGCACAGAAGATTTAAAAGAAAAAAAAATAGAGAAAAAAAGAAGAAACGGCAGGCACAGCAAAAAGCGAAGGCAACGAGAGAAGGCGAAGAAAAACGGGAGAAGATGAAACTACGTTTGTAGGTGATACCGCAATAAAGAGATGGAAAAAAGTATTCATGCAAACATTAGTATATATATATATATATACTAATGTATATATGAATATACACAATAGTTTCAATTTATTTTAATATTTCGCTAAAGCACTGCGCTGTTGGCGGGCGTCTCTCTCTCTCTCTCTCTTTGTGAGTGTGTGTATGGTTGGGTGGGTGTGGGCGAAGTCAAAGAAGTGGCCGAGGCAACCACCGGCAAAAAAGGTAGTCCTCTCGGGTTTTCAAGAAGCAATGGAGACGCTCATCGTGCTGTGAGCCGGAGACACGCACAAGCGTACTGGAATCGTCAAAAAAAAAAACAAAGGAACAAAGAAAGAAAAAGAACACGGATGTTGATCAGCACAAGAATAGACAGCGCAATAATGCAGATAAGAAAACACAGCCGCTTGTGTGTGTGTGTATATATATACGTACGAACGAGCGTCAACAGCACTTCCGTTTACACGAGACAAAAGCCTGTCCGCGGACACAGATGAGTTTTTCTTCTCCGCTTACTTCTGCTTCTTGCTGTTGGCCTCGTACTGGGCGATCTGCTCGTTCAGGTCGATGCGCACGCTCTTCGCAGCGATGGTGATCACCTCCACCGTGCGCGGGCCAACCACGGGCACCTTTTGCCCTGCCGCCGCGCAGCCGGCGATGACGCCGATGTTCTTCTCCTTCTCCTCGACGAACGTGCCTACCTTGTTCGCGGCAGGCACTAACCGCAGAATACGCCACACGACATACAAATAGATGCTGAGAAGGTGGGTGAGAACGTGGAAAGTCGCCGTCTTGGTGATGTCGAAGGCCTGCACGTTGTCCACATATGGCTGCGCCCTCTGCGTCACTTTCTCTCGCACGGCGTTCACCTGACCCTTGGCGTTCTCCATGGCGTGCTGCGCCGTCTCACGGTAGTTGCCAGCGGCCGCCTTGGCCGACTCGTACTTGGCCTTCGTGGACTCCACGTACGGGTCAGCCTTCTTGCGGGCGTCCTCGACGTAGTCGTGCGCCGTGTCCATCGCCTTCTTGGCCGCCTCCTGCACGTTCTTCTTCGCGTTTGTCGCGGTCTGATGCAGGTTGTCTGCGCCGTTCGTGGCAGATTCCAGCAGCTCCGCCGCCTTCTCGCGGGCCTGCTGGGCCTTCTCTCCGACCTGGGCGGCGGCGGCGGCAGATCCCTGACTCACCGCCTCCTGCACCTGTTGCGTGATAGTCTGCTGGTGAGGCATTGCTGCTGGGTTTTTTTTTTGTGTATGTGGTGATAGCAGAAGGTAGATGTGTGTTGGTGCGTGTCTCACGTTGCAAGAGATAGGACACCAAGAAGTCTCTGTGTGTATAGAGTGAGGGAGGCAGAGGAAGAACGGGAGCAAGTCAGCGAAGAAAAGACTTAACGGAGGCTGAAAAGAAAAAGAATGTAGCCAAACTGGAGTCGCCGAGCGAGCAGGATGGAACTTCGGGTTGGAAAGGCGTGACTCAGAAAGCTTGCTGTTGCTGGTGCGCGTGTGGGAGCGAGGGTTCGTGGCAAAGACGTAGTAGCGATCTACGGAATGTGAGAGAGTGCCCGTGTAGACAGGTAAGGGGGGGGGGGAAAGAGAGAAAGAGAGAAAGGTACAGAGGCAGGGAGAGGGGGAAAGAAAGAAAAGGGCGGCAGGTTGATCTGCTGCAGCGCTCGTGCCGCACGCACCCGTTCACGCAGTGCAGAAATTAAGCTCGCTTATTCCGCAACCAAAAAGTTGAGGTTTGTGTGGTTGAGAAGGTATCGAAAGCACCTTCGAAGCTCGACACCCACAAACGCGTCGAACAAGTCCGAGAGGGAAGTACATAGTCGCTGTGCTGGAGACGAATAATAATAATAATAATAATAATATAGCGCGCTACCGTGCTCAAACTGCATACCGATGACGGAGAATTTACCCTCCGCGGAGCGTTGCAGTTTCATTTTTTTTTTTTTTACGTCATTGAATACTGTAAAATCACGTGAAGTCGGAGGCGCGAGAGACAACTCCGGAAGCAAAAACAAAACAAAAACAAAAAACAAAAATATTCCATCATAAACAACCGAACATCAAACGACGCCCTTCGGGAAACACGCACGCAACTGCGCCAACGCACAAGCAACAACTGAGGAGGAAAAAGAAAAAGAATTGCTGAAAAAATCGCGTGGAAAAAACAGAACCTCATAGCATAAGAACAAAAAGAAAAGGAAAGAAAAAGGAAAGTTCCGCGAATGGCGATAGCTCTTGTAAAACACAACGCTTGTAACTGCTTGTGAAGGCAAGCACAATTTCTTTAAGATGAATTGAGGATGCCATATAGCAACAACAATAGCAAAAGAACACAGTTGGCGTCAACAGGAAAGGAACAGCATGATGATGCGGCGCACCGGTAACGTACAAAACCACGTTTTTGGACACACCCCAAGAACACAAAGAGGAGGATACCGCATGGATGACGTAGCGCAGTCCTTTTACAGATCGTAGTGTCAGCGCATCGGTAGAGGGTCAGAAACACATTTCTAGCAAGAAGGGAGACGAGGCCCACATCCATGAGAAGGCCAGATACAGCGACAAAGAAAGGGGCAACGCAATGTCAGCAAAAAACACGGCGTGTGGGACCACCCTCAAAACAAATAAACATGAAAGAAAGAAAGAAAAAGAAGAATCTTCATTGCCGGTGGAAGGTGAGAAATAACTATGAAAACGAAAATAAATAAGACTGAAGATAATAAACACATCCACACCACACACTTACGCCCAAACCGCAACAAACCGAAACAGAAGCAAAAGGTTTATAAAAAAAAAATGATGATTATAGATGTCACAATTAATCGAATACAACGAAGATATTGCAGCCGCATCACCGGTAGCGATGAGCACTCTTCCCAAAGATGACACAGGCACACTGGAAAGAAAAGAAAGAAGAAGAAAAACAAGACAATTTTGGAAACGAAGAAGGCGACAGAACAAAACATTCAGGAAGCAACAATAAACGCGAACATCACTGGTTTTATTATTCCAGGGTGCAGCTTTCTTGTCAACAAACGTCTACGCCGGCTCGGGACCGTACATCGCGACCAGCGTCATGAGCAGACTTTCTTCTTCGCCGCTGAACTTCTGCAGGGTCGAGTCCAGCTGAGGAAGCGCGTTCGGCTCGTAGAAGCCCACAATTTTCTTAATACGGCAGATAAAGTCAGACTGCTTCCGCTGCGTCTGCGAGTGTCGCTCCAGGTTCTTTAGGTCGTCAACGTGGTGTGCAAAGGAACAGAGCACGTCGTGCAGCGGCAGCTTCACGTCATGCTGTTCGGTGCTGTCTTGCAGGTCGATGCGAAGGCGGCTTTCGGGCATGAAGGACTGTCGAATGCCGGCATCTTTGCTGCGCAGCAACGGTTCGATTTGACGCCACTCGCTGTCGTCCACGTCGCGCTCGAAGTACTGCTCGGCCAGAATGCGGCACTGATCTAACGTGAAGAGCCCCGTCGCCTTCACGTCCAGCAGCTGGGCGACCTGCAGTATCTGCCGGTACGGTGCATCCGACATGTGGTACCACTGCGCCGGGTTGCGGCGGTTCATCATGAGCCACACACAGAGGGTGTTGAAGGGAATGGAACCCGTCTTGGGCGACCGCCCCCCCATTTCAAACAGATTTCGCACATCGTCGGGGTGATTTGGATAGTTGAAGAAGCGCAGCAGCCGGCACGCGTCGCGCCAGCGCAGCTCCAGCCCGTTACTCCCATCCGCCGCCCCGGAGGCGAAATCAGGGAAGCAACGCACTAATTCCATAAACTCATTTTCCGCCATGCCGAAGTCACGCGCGGTGTTCGTCAGTGACTGCCGCCAGTGTGCTCGTTGCGCGTGCGTCGGCTCCGCGCGGACCACCGGCACCGCGTTGCTCACATGAGAAAAGCTGCGGTTCGAAAGCGTGTCCGCTACAATAATGGGTGTTAGCTGAGAAGTGTTGTGAGCGGTGCCGTTCATCGTGTTGGTGGTGAGGGTGGCGTTGGGCGTTACCGAAGACCCATTCCCTTCTAAATAGTAATCTTGCATGCACACCACCTCCTGGGGCGACGAGCTTGCGCCCGGCCCAGATGTCACGTCCTCGCCGTCTTTCAGGCATTCGGTGTGCTTTGTCGTGAAATCTTTATACGTGCCTTTCCACGCACAGGCGCTACACTTGCCCTTCGTACGCTCCAGCAGACGCAGGATGAACTTTCCGGGCGTGTTGAGGCGGTCCACGGGGCCGCAGCACACCGGACACGTGGCGAGGCCTTCCACACATCGACGGCAGAAAATGTGCTGACAGTTGTTCACCTCTACCGGGTCTGTCCAGAGGCAACAGCACACGGCGCACTCGGCATCCTTGCCGAACGCGGTATCCGGCTCGAAGTACTTGGACATTCTTGCTTATCTTCGATTATTATTATATGTATTTTCTTTTACAACGATACGTCCAGCAACACTAGGATAAAAAGAAGAAGCAAGGAAAATGAGAACTAAAAAGCGCAGTGGTGCGTGCAGTCCACCCGATTACCGTTGTGAACACAAACGCACCCCTCTTACACACGGTTCTTTGTCGACTCTTATCCTTCTACCAATGCGCTCTGCGGATTGCAGCAAGAAGGTGCTTCGCACTTTCGGGTGTGCGTTGAGGTTCGAGGCTGCAAAGGCAATGATGTAAAGCAGATTCTACTCTATCAAAAGCAAAAAAAAAGGTATGATGAAAGGAGGAAAATCGAGGTGAGAGAGGGGGCAATAGAGTTCTTGCCTACGGTACACACAATAGTGACATCTTGAATTTTAAACCACCTGGAAAGGAGAGCAGCGCGCGAAGGTTAAGGTGACGGTTGAAAGGCATCCAGAATAGAGTTGGCTGCTGAGGATTCCACTTCCTTCTACAGCAGCATGTGAGGGGAAAACAGGAAAACGTAAAAAGGGTCCGACGTGTCAACCGCCGCTCTTCACGGTACCCTCCCCCACATACACGCTGCGTTGAATTTTCTTTTTTTCAGGTGGCCTCAACGGCGCTTATCCTACTGCAAATCCAAACGTGTGCAACAGGAGTCTCAAAAACCTCGTCTCTGCTTTTCTTTCCTCAAAAATTGTTTTCAAACACAATTTGTTGTTAAAGTGAAATAATTAGAAAACATTTATATCGTGTTAATCGCCAAAAGAAACAAGGGTGAAACGGAGGAGTTGCAAATTTACAGAGAGCGCAGCGCAGACCGAGAGACAAAAAGCGCAGTCGATTCAGCAGGTTTGAACGACCGTCTCGGGAACACCGTGGCCGCGACAACATCACCCAACGACACGCGCAGAAAAAAAAAACAACAAAAGCAAAGAAAACGACAGTTCGTACGTGAGCTCACCGACTGTTTGTACCCCCATCCGTAAGAACCAAAAAGATATACGGCCTCAAAGGAATGATAAAAGTAAAGTAATAGTTGCCCAAGAGGCTTAACACGTTTAACGAAACTCAGTTAGATGCGTTAGCGCAGCCGAGAGGGGTGCACAAAACCGAGAGGGGAAGTGTGTGTGCGGATGTGTGATGACTGCCGACGCATTTTGGTGGCATCGGTTCATCCGCCTCCTCAAAATTTCCATCGCAGAACGACCTCCTCCATTATTCGTCGTCGTCGTCCAATTGAGCCGCTGCCGTCAGCTTCATCTCGCGCCACTTCTCAAAGGAGCGCTGACGTACCTCGTGCAGGCGGCGCTTGCGCTCGCGGTTCTTGGCAATGCGCTCTTGCTTCGCGATCATAATGTGCTTGCGCTTCTCCTCACGCTCCTCTTTCGTCAGCGCCTTGGTGCGGGCGCTGCGCAGCACCTGACGCTGTAGGCGGTCCTCGATCTTCAGTTCCTCCTTGCGTCGCCGCTTCCTGGACCGCTCCTCGTCAGTTGGGTCGTCGTTGCGGTGGGCGAGCAGCGCCTTCAAGATGCGGCTGCGCACCTTCTTTGCGCGCCGGTAGAAGTCGCTCTTCTCCTTTGCACCCTGCTTGGCGAATTGCTGGTAGAGCACCTTCACCGGCGACGGGGCCTTCGTCTCGCGTGCGCGCGGGGTGAGGCCCAACATGCGCTCCATCGTACCGAGGAGCCGAATGGAGGCGGCGGAGAGGAGGAGGTCATCATCGTCCACGGCAGGTGCGACGATCGCTGCGGCCACCCAGGCGGTGTCCAGCTGCACACGGCTGTTGTACTGCAGGACCATCTTCATCGCGTGCAGGTAGTTGTAGGGGAGGGTGTGCTTCATCGCGAAGACCTGCGCCACCGTGTAGGACTGCATGAAGTGGCGGATGGCAGCACTCGCGCTGCGCTTCAGGTCCACCGGCAGCCCACTCAGACGCGACAGCATCGACTCCACAAAGGTGCAGCAGGCCGTGAAGACGCGCACCCGCTGCGGTCCCTCCACCGGCACCACCTCCTCGCACTTCTCAAACACCGCCGGCAGGAGCACCCACGCAAAGCCCTGACGATAGTGGTAGAGGTCCTTCTTGAGGGAGGGCAGCAGCTTCTTCGTGTCCCAGCCTCGGTCGCAGAAGACGGACTTGTAGTACTCGCTGAGCGTGATGCGCACCTCCTCGCTGGCGTGATTCTTGTAGGCGAGCATCGCGACAAAGTGGAAGGTGCGCAGGGCTACCGCCTTCACGGTGCTCAGACGTCGCCGAGCGGCAGCCGCCGCCCTGGCCATCACGCTGTCCTTGTCCACCAGCACGCGGCTCAGCTTGCGCAGGTAGCTCTGAATGTCACCGAGGAGCTGGAAGAGGTCCGCGGCTTGCACAAAAGAGCCGAAGTAGCGGTTCTTCGTCATGAGCAGCATCTCCATTGCCGAGATCGCGGCGCCAAACACGACGTCGTCGGCCGTCTTCACGTTTTCGCGTGCGACGGCGAGCAGCACCTGATAGATGTGCACAACGATGGGGCTGCGCAGGGCGAGTCCGACGCGCGTCACCAGCCGAATGGCACGCACCACATCCGCCTTTTCTTGGTTGGCCGTGTCGGTGGGGTACATGTGCTCGAGGTCCATGTTGCCCACCATGCCCTTCAGGGCGTCGATGTACTGCTGGGTCGGGGCCTCCTCTTCCTCGAACACGTCCTCGATATCTTCTTCGCCCTCCTCATCGTCGGAGCTGTCGGCGTCGGTGGCCGTCTCATCGGCTTCGTCGCCTTCGGCGGCCTCCTCTTCCTCTGCCACGGTGTCCGCATCCGTGGCGTCGTCGCTCTCCGTCTCCGCGTCACTGCTGGTGTTGCTGTCGTCGGAGGCCTCATCGTCCTCATTTTCCTTTCCTCCGGCGGACGCCTCCTCCGCCGCCTCCTCCTCCAACTCAGCCGCCGCGGCGTCGTCTTCACCATCCTCTTCTTCTCCTTCACCCTCCTCCTCGTCTTCGTCGTCGCTCGAGTTGGCCCCCTCCGCGCCGGCCGCCTTCTTCGCATTGCGCTGACGGGCCTGCTCGCGGCTGTCCGTGTGGTAGGCGTCGCGCAGCGGGGCCAGCAGGATGTCCAGCGAGCTGCGTGCCCGGATGAACTTCGCGAACTTGAGCACAAAGCCGGTCGCGATACGGCGGATGCACGACATGAGCGGCATCACGTGCAGCGGGGCGCTGACGCGCATCACGAGGGCCATGAGGGCATCGAGGAACAGGTCCAACGTTTCGATCGTGCCAACCGTGTAAAAGTGCGCGATGTCGGGAATGACGCTCTTTGCCATGAGTACGGCGTCGCTGTTCGTCGGGTCATCGACGCTCAGCACGAGGAAGAGGAGTGCGAGGAAGATCTCCATGTCGACTCGCTCATAGAAAAGGACGCTGCGCTGCTCCGTGGCCGCCTCGAGCGCCTCCACGACACGGTTGCGGGCCTTGCGAAATGCGCTGTGCTGCACCGCCGTCGTGTAGCGCGTCTTCGACTTCTCTTCCGCTTTCAGGTAGGCGCTGATGACGGCGGTGGTTGCAACTGAACTCTTCGGACGGGCCAGCGGGGCGGTGAAGGTGAAGGAGAAAACATCCGCGAAGAGGTAAATGCACCGGTTCTGGCTGAGAGTGTCCCTCGAGGTGTGCGGCGGGTAGAAGCCGAACTCCAGCAGCTGCATCACGGCCGCGTCGACGTAGGCGTGCTCGACACCCTCCCGCACTGGGACGTAGAGGCAGTTCCGCAGCTCCCGCAGCACCCACGTGCGGTTCGTTGTGGCGGCCGGGTCGCGGTCGATGATCATGGCGTACTGCCGCAGCAGATCGTCCACTTTGTGGTGGAGGCCAGAGATGGGCATCTGCTTCAGCTCCTGCATCGTCGTCGGCTTGGCCGCCGTGCGCTTGCCGTAGCCAACGTGCGTGCTGGCGAGCTTCAGCACTTCTATGCGCTGCTCTGCGCTGTCGGACTGCACGGCAATCTGGCCAAGCTTCGCGACAAGGTTTTGGAGGAGGGCGCGACGCGGGATGTCAGCGCTGCCACGGCGATAGGGGACGATCATGTTGTGCAGAATCGTGCTGAGGTGCTCCTTCATCGACTCACCCATTGCGCAGCGGCGGACGACCAGCTCGAAGATGTCCTCCCAGACAGGGTGCACCATCGGGTGATTCGCAGTGACCTGCTCCTTGCGGAAGAGAGCGTTGCCAATCTGCTCCATTGTGGAGGGGTTCAGCGGATCGAGGGTGAGGTACTGCTCGACGGTGCTGGGCAGCGCGCCGGCTGGTGGCCGCGGGTCTGCCTCGATCAGCCGCATCAGCAACTGGATGGCCTCTGGGCGGTAGTACTCCATCTTGGGGTAGTGAAAGAAGGCAAAAACCATCCACTGAAGAGGCTCGTCTTGCTGATAGAGGTCGTTGTGATCCGCCAATACCTCGAAGAGCACGTTGGCGGACAGCACACGCGTCACCTTCTGCTCCACGTACGCGAAGGAGAGGCAGGTGACGAGCTGGGCAGCCTCGGCGGGCAGCAGCGTCTTCCGTGCCGCCACCACCGCACCAAGGGCGAAGACGGTAGCCGTCAGCCGCTGATTTCGCTCCCCTTTGGTGGGGTCGTTAAGATCGTCAGGGTCGATGCCGGTGTCGTCGTCGTCGTCAGCCGCCGCCTCAGCAGCTCCTCGCTCTCCGTTTTTGTTGCCACCGTCGCCGCGGCGAGCGCGGGCCTCCAGCCGCAGCTTCACCGCCTTCATCCGCACGCTCAACACAAACTCCTCATCCATTAGCTCCAGCAGCACTGCCGGGGATATGCTGGTCTGCGCGAGCACTAGATACAGCGTGTGGCAGTGCAGGCATAGCATCGCAAAATCGTCCGTCACCATGCCGAGCAGGAGACGGGTGAGAGCGTAGACGACGGAGTGGTGGGCCGTGGCGCGCAGCCGCTCCAGACTGCGTGTGTCGACGTCCTCCTCGCTCAGCTTGGCGTTGAAGTGGTTCAAGAAGGCGTTCTGGCCCTGCTTGCGCTTCTCGGCGTTGTGGCGCAGACACATGTGAAGGAGAGCCCGCATGTGCTCTCGCTCCCGCAGTGTCTGCGACATGACCTGACGCGTCTGACTCATCTTCTTCGTCTTTCCGTCCGCCGTCGCGGCGTCACCGGCGTCTTTCTCGCCGTCTTTGGTCTCCGCAGGCTCCTCGTCCTGCTTCTCCGGGTCTTTCCCGTAGGGACCTGCATTGCCCTGCGGCTTGGCAAAGCTCTTACCTTTGTTTGCTTCGAAGGATGCCCACTCGTACCACGACGCGAACGCGCTCACCGTCGTTGGCGCCCCCTTCTCAAACTTGGGCAGGTACGTGCGGAAGGAGGCGACGGCGTCGGGCATGTGCTGAAGAATGAGCTGCGGCGGTACAAACTTGAAGAAACGCTCGTTGAGGTCTTTGCCGAAGACTTCGCGGTTGGCGCGGCGCGTTTTAAAAAGCGTGACACTCTCTCGCAGATCAGCAGCCACCTTTGCAGCAAGATGAATGTCCACCTCCGCTGTCCGGTGCGACGACGGCGCACGCGAGGGTGCACCACCGCCTGCCGCAGAAGAGCGTGACGCACCATTGAAATCGCGCTGCTGCTGCTGCTGCTGCCTGCTGCGCTGTTCGCGAAACTTGCTTTGGTGGAACTTCGTTTTTTCCTTCTTAAGGTGCAACGCGCCTGTCTTACGCGGGTTGACGGCTGAAAAAGAGGAGGCGGAGGCGCCACGATCGCGTTGGCGACGGTCGTGATCACCGTGACCAACCCCACCGCGACTACCAAAGCCACCACCACGACCGCGTCCGCGCGAGAAGCTCGAGCGGGGACCAGAGGACGCACTGCTGCTGCGGTAGTTGCTGTTGCCGCCACCAGAGGGACCCCTACCCGGCGGACCGCCGCTGCGGCCTCGCTTCGCTCCGTGTGGAGGAGGCATGCGAATACACACGTTCCTCAAGAGAGATAAAAAGAAACAAAAGACTACCGGAATCGCCGACAATGAAACGGCGTTGTGCAAATTCGTTGCTGTCAAAGGTGTGCGAGCAGGCACGAATACGGGCCCAACAAAGAAGCGAGAAAGAAAGAATCGAAAAGCAAGTCTGTACTTTGGTCATTGTCACTTTTTCCTCTCTTTCGTGACTGACATGAGCTGCAACAACTCCGTACATGTGTCTCGTTGGAGTGGTGGAGGAGAAGACCTCACCACATCGGCCGAAGCACGGAGCGTAAAGACGGGAGAGCAGAGCGATGCACGCTAACTTGCAATACTCCCTACCCGTTGCAGAGCGATGCAGTTGCGTTCGGCGTGTTAAAACACCCCGGCATTTACATCACCAGCGCAAACCCACGTGGTAGTGGCGGTGCTCCGCACCTGCCTGTAACATGAATGCTTTCGCTTAGGTTCTTTACGATTTCTTACGTTTTCATAGCTTTCCCCACATACACAGTTTGCCGTTTACTAGGCACTAAAAGCACGCACGGAAGAGTTCACGTAGCGAAAGGGTGACACAATAAAAGGATCGCTGTTACGTGGTGCTAATAAAAATCAAAACAAGTATATAAATTACGAACGTTTTGGATTCTAAAGAGTTGCCTGAACGCAGAGACGAGACACGCACTCGTACTCGCACCGCACAGCCGAATTGTGGAGGAGAAAGAAAACATTAAAAGGGCTACAAGGCAGACGAAAAGTAAGAGAAAAGAAAAGAGAAAGGAGAGAACGATGACGCAGATCCGGCGAAGAGAAACAAAAACTTCCTATACAACATCACAGGACCCTGTTTTCCTATCCCGCTTCTGTGCTGGACTAGGCGAAAGACGTTCAATCGTCTTCCATGCCTACGTTTACGCATCTGCATACGGACCGAAAGAAAATGATAACACCAAGAAAACACAAAACTATTTTACTGACATTTGCCTTAGCCTCACTGCTGTGCGCACCTTAGCGAAATCGTCGAAGTGGAAAGCGTGCTGCGGTGCTGAGAGAAGTGTGTACCGACGAACAAACGTCCCTTCTGGAGCTGAATCCCGTCGCATTTTTTTGTAGTTTTAATTTAGACCTACGTTGCCTCCCGCGCATCACGTACACACACACACGCAAAAACAAAAACCGGTAGTGTGTTTGACTTTTCGAAGGAAAAAAAAAAGAGAAGGCGATTCATGCGGTGATGCCGAATTACAGTGAGCGAACGAAATTTGGGAGGGGAGTCCCAAAAAAAAAGGCTTAGGAGTTGCTAGAGGAAAACAAAAGAGAAAAAAGAAATCACAAACAAACCGAATGAAAAAGAAAAAGAATAGTTGTGGTGCTTCCTTTATCCGATTTATCAGCACCGCTACAACCACAGAAACATCGCAGGTAGGTCTCTCTTTACACGTTGTTGCACAGCGGCTCAGACTCCGTACACGCTGAAGCAGCAAAGCTGACGACCGTACCTCGCTCTTTCGTTTTTCTGTCTCTCGGTCCCCTCCGCAACGCAACAACCGGTTAGTCGGCCGACACAGTGGTTCAAAACCCACAACAGCACTTGGTTGTACGTCGCCTACACGAAATACGCAGCGAATACCTCGATGCACAGGTAAGCGGCATACAGAGAACGCAATTCTCAAGTTGTTGCGATCCGAAACACTAAAACACAAAGGAGACAACGAGACATTTTCAAAGCGAAGAGAGAAAGATGAACACATCGCAGCGACGTGTTTTCTTTTCATGCGAGAATAACCTACACCCTACAAATCATCACCTACCAACAGGTCAAACCTTTACATGAGAATTACATAAATTTATCTTTCTTGGTTATACAACACACTGTAAATATCAATAGTTAAATAAATGCAAAGAAAACAAACTATTCAACAGACTCTACGAAGTGGGTAGCCCGCCTTACGCTTCCCCGCTGGGTGGGCGGGGAGTTCAGGGTTGGGCGGGTGGGAAAAACTAAAAGATAGAAGAACTGCTGAATTCTAGCAGTTGAGAAAGAGAATACAAGAAAAGGGGAAAAGAGAGAGGTAGGATGAATAATTCTTCAGGCTAGGTCATTCTATTCGCAAGCTCCAAAAAAAAAGCCTGTGTTTCACATTTCTCAGTGCGTTTCATTGACAGGACAACGAACAGGTTTAACAAGGTAGGACTGTGAACAACGCTGTTATGCGACACCCATACATGCATGCACAATTTATAAAGGAAAAAACACAATTAGTTTGTTTTTTGTGGTTTGGTATTATACATGTAATTAAGTCACCAGAGATGCACGCATGCACGCACTGGCATAGCATCGCACACAGATCAACACACACGCACACACAGAGGCCTACGATACACTTAGATGCACGCAAAGGATTGCTAACGTCTTCATCGACCTCTGCCGCCTCCGTTCAGGCGTCACACAAATTGTGTCACAATCTTTCGTGAGCCTCCAAGCAAATGAAAAAGAAATGTAAACAGAAAGATCAAAGAAATAGGTAGATGAAGGGAGCTTAATCGCTTACATCGATATCGTTGTGTGCGGTGAGGAAAAGGAGCTTGAAAACGAAGATCGCGCTACAGGCTGAGGAGAGGTCTGTGTGTACGTGTGTGTGTGTGTGTGTACTAGTTATATTACTTTACTTCCGGAAATCGATCCACGTTTTTTTTTGGTTGTTTTCTATCGAGACCCGCTTCGGTATTTACCGTGTCCTTCGAATGCTTTTCTTACCGGCTTGTGCGGCTCCCGTCTCGAGTCTCCGCAGCGGCAGTAAAACAAAGAGAAGCGAAGAGGAGTAACTCTTGTACTCGACTTCGGCGAAAGAATCTTTTCCGCGCCGAAAGCCGCTACGAAAACGGACTCACGTTGTTTTGCGTTTTCTATTATCACTTTTTGATGTGTGTGTGTTATTGATCGTTGCCCGTCTCTGCGTACGCACACGTCGGCATGTGCAGAGATCCAACGCCACATTAAGAATAGTAAAAGTATAGCTACAAAAGAAACGGAAAATAAGGCCGAAACTGCGCATTTCAAACCTGAGGGCAACACGGACGCCGAAGACATTCGGGAGCGAAGTATGAACACACAACAACTCATTTCCCTTCCAGCAAGACGCTACTCGTCTAAAAAAACCGGAGGGAGATTAAAGTCATTTCTGCGGTGTCCCAGCGATATCCCTCTCGTTTCGTCGCGCAATTTCGGTTTCTTCAACGATCTCCGTTGATGCAACAACAAAAAAGAGCATCCACCACCACAACAGAAATCTTGGATCGATTAAGTGGTAAATGAAAGAAAGCGATGTGTTTTGAGTTCAAAAAGGAAAATAGTTCCATAATAAGTGGGAAGTGAAGGGGAAAAAAGAACCAAAAAGGAAACGCTTGAATTATTCCGCGGGAGTCGCAGCTTACCGCATCTCTATTTGGCCTCTGAGCTGCGTAAACACCACTAATCACCCTTCTGCAGAAATAAACACAGAAGGGGAAAAGAGTAAACCACGCGTAAACAAAAAAAAAGACGAGTAAGAAGAAGAAAGATAAAGCGTTAGCGGGGTTTTCAAGTTAAAATAGATCGAAAGCGCGGCAGAAACAAAGAAGAAAGGAAGAAAGCAAGAAACCACAACTGAAGTTTTGTATGAAATCAGCATTCAATGACACCACATCCATTTGCCAAGAACAGCAACTGTGAGAGACTCGATAAGCAGTGGGGGAGAGACGCACGTGCTTCGCTCTGAGCGTGCGCAGTTCTGTCTCGACGCGTCTCCCATTCTTACGGTGCACTCGGTGACAAACAACAGCAACGACAAACAAAAACAGCAGACCACAAGGAGAAAATACAGTCAGGACAGCACGAACAAATGAGGAAAAGAAGTTGGTGAGTAGCTTCTGTTCACGTCTGCTCACCGAACCCGTGACAGCAAAGCTGGCACAGGACATGCGGAGAGGCGAGAAACAAACAGCTTAAAAAAAGGCCAATAACGAAGAAAGGAAGATGTTATTTAAGAGGCTTCGAAGATTCCGTGCGTTCTGCATTCCGTTGTCTTCTGCGCGTTTTTAGTTTAAACCGAACGGGAAAAAGACATCGACCGACGAGCGCAAAGATGAGGAAAAACAAAAGCAGCGACAAATGCCGATTCTAGGAAGCCTGCGGAGCTCTGTATCCGTTTAGCGTGATTTAAAAAAAAAGGATACCCCCACCAGCGTTGGAAGTATTTTTCGGCGGGGTTGCGGACAGATGGCTCATCATTTCGCCAAAAAAAAAACAAAAGAAGTTGCGCTCCGCAAAGCAAGAAGGAGACGACACTCTTTTCCCTTTCGCGTCTCTTTCTTACTTTGGTCTTACGTGTGTCAGCAGCAGCGCTCCACCTACGCACGTTTCACATCTCCTTTTCTGTGGTAGGCACTGCATTTTCCTATCTCACTCTCGCCAATTAACAACAGAGATGTAGGTGTGCGCCCTCTCTTCCACATTACAGGATGCCGTAGATGGTTGCCGTGGTACCGAAGCAGATGACGATGACACCGCAAACTAGCACAAATAGGGCACCGAAGAAGTCGAAGGCGCCGGCCTTCTGCAGGGTGAAGCCACCGCTGTAGATGAAGAAGAGCGACGGAAAGACGAAGGCGATGAAGGACCCAGTGAAGGAGCCGAGCAGACCGAAGACGGTGTTCACCTTCGGGATAAACAAACCGCACAGCAGCGATACCAAGCTGAGGAAGGTGCACAGCAGCGCATTCTTCCACCAGGCGACGGTGCGAATATCCCAGCCGACGAGGTGGTGCACGGCATCGCGGCAGGGCAGGATGTGGAGGGCGAAGGCGACACACAACTTTATGATAAGGCCCAAGTACGCGACAGCGAAGTAGTAATCCGTCAGGGGACGGTACATGCTCAGCAGTGAAGAGGCGACATCGGAGCCAAAGTCGGCGTAGGCGAAGAATCCTGCAAGCCAGTAAAAAACGGTGCAGATCAGCATGCTGATGAAACACTGCAGCTCAAAAAACCTCACCGACGGCTTTGTGGTCTCGTTGAACACCTGGTAAGCGTTCGACTGGCACAAAAAGGCGAAGACGAACTGACCCAGACCTCCCATGGCCGCGTTGCCCGTGTTGAAGAGCTTCACCTTCGACAAATTGCCATTCTTCAAGCCGTGCGTGGCGGAATGTACAATGACGCAAACCACGAAAAACAGAATAAAAGTCACACCGAAGAGGGAGACGTAGCGGAGGGAGTTGATTTGGCGCGGCAATGAGAGGGGCAGCATCAGCACCACAAAGGTAACGGAGGTCAGCACGCGCCGAAAGCTATCGCTCTGGTACCGCTCCGGTACGCGGTCGTCATTCAGGAAGGCATGCCATAGATCACTCACACAGATGACGTACGCAATACAGGCACCGATACACTTGAGGAACATAATCACGGCAGTGAAAATGTCACCACCGCGACCGAAGAGGTAACGCGCGGTCAGCTCGTAGCTGCGGATGCCTGTCTTCTCGTACACGATGGCCAGCAGCCGCACCGTGTACACCGTCATGAGGAAAATGATGATGAGTAAGATGGTGCCCGTCACCAAGCCCGAGGAATTGAATGCGTCGGGCAAGCCGAGAATACCCGCCCCCAGGCTGCTACCAGCCAGGTTGAAGACACCACTCGCAAAGCCGCCAGGTGGCATGATACGGTGCACAATCTTCACAGCGCCCCTTACAAATGGCGGCAGAGTGGGCGGCGGCGGTTGGCGCTGGAACTCCGGCCCGAGCTCGTCGACCTGCTCAAACGTGCCCTCCATCTCCCTATCCACCTTCGTGGTCCCATCGCCCTGGGTAGAAATGGGGGTAATCTGCGGTGCCTGAAAGGTAGGGCTGTTGCTGTGGAAGGCGGGCATGGCTCCGTGACAGTACGCCCGTTCCTCGTCCTGCCCCTCCACGTATCCGGTGTTGCGCGACATGTGCGTGCTCGTCTGCGCGAATAGGAAGGAGAGAGAAGACAGAGTAGAGAGCGGAATGACGGACAGCGCTTGAAGTGTTTTGACGACAAAACGAACAATAGTGACAGAGAGAAAAACTGTCTTTAGAAATTAGTGTATTAGGAAATTGGTTTGATGCTGTTCGTGTTGCCGATGGTTTAGGGGAGGCGCTTGACTTACTGTGCGCAGACGAGAAAAAAAGTTTTTTAATAAATCCATTAAAGGTAGAAGAATCCAAAGCAAGAAAAAAGCAAAGAAAGGGAGAAAAAGACGGCGATTACCAAGTACAGACTTGCTTCTCCATTCTTGACTGACATGAGCTGCAACAACTCCGTACATGTGTCTCGTTGGAGTGGTGGAGGAGAAGACCTCACCACATCGGCCGAAGCACGGAGCGTAAAGACGGGAGAGCAGAGCGATGCACGCTAACTTGCAATACTCCCTACCCGTTGCAGAGCGATGCAGTTGCGTTCGGCGTGTTAAAACACCCCGGCATTTACATCACCAGCGCAAACCCACGTGGTAGTGGCGGTGCTCCGCACCTGCCTGTAACATGAATGCTTTCGCTTAGGTTCTTTACGATTTCTTACGTTTTCATAGCTTTCCCCACATACACAGTTTGCCGTTTACTAGGCACTAAAAGCACGCACGGAAGAGTTCACGTAGCGAAAGGGTGACACAATAAAAGGATCGCTGTTACGTGGTGCTAATAAAAATCAAAACAAGTATATAAATTACGAACGTTTTGGATTCTAAAGAGTTGCCTGAACGCAGAGACGAGACACGCACTCGTACTCGCACCGCACAGCCGAATTGTGGAGGAGAAAGAAAACATTAAAAGGGCTACAAGGCAGACGAAAAGTAAGAGAAAAGAAAAGAGAAAGGAGAGAACGATGACGCAGATCCGGCGAAGAGAAACAAAAACTTCCTATACAACATCACAGGACCCTGTTTTCCTATCCCGCTTCTGTGCTGGACTAGGCGAAAGACGTTCAATCGTCTTCCATGCCTACGTTTACGCATCTGCATACGGACCGAAAGAAAATGATAACACCAAGAAAACACAAAACTATTTTACTGACATTTGCCTTAGCCTCACTGCTGTGCGCACCTTAGCGAAATCGTCGAAGTGGAAAGCGTGCTGCGGTGCTGAGAGAAGTGTGTACCGACGAACAAACGTCCCTTCTGGAGCTGAATCCCGTCGCATTTTTTTGTAGTTTTAATTTAGACCTACGTTGCCTCCCGCGCATCACGTACACACACACACGCAAAAACAAAAACCGGTAGTGTGTTTGACTTTTCGAAGGAAAAAAAAAAGAGAAGGCGATTCATGCGGTGATGCCGAATTACAGTGAGCGAACGAAATTTGGGAGGGGAGTCCCAAAAAAAAAGGCTTAGGAGTTGCTAGAGGAAAACAAAAGAGAAAAAAGAAATCACAAACAAACCGAATGAAAAAGAAAAAGAATAGTTGTGGTGCTTCCTTTATCCGATTTATCAGCACCGCTACAACCACAGAAACATCGCAGGTAGGTCTCTCTTTACACGTTGTTGCACAGCGGCTCAGACTCCGTACACGCTGAAGCAGCAAAGCTGACGACCGTACCTCGCTCTTTCGTTTTTCTGTCTCTCGGTCCCCTCCGCAACGCAACAACCGGTTAGTCGGCCGACACAGTGGTTCAAAACCCACAACAGCACTTGGTTGTACGTCGCCTACACGAAATACGCAGCGAATACCTCGATGCACAGGTAAGCGGCATACAGAGAACGCAATTCTCAAGTTGTTGCGATCCGAAACACTAAAACACAAAGGAGACAACGAGACATTTTCAAAGCGAAGAGAGAAAGATGAACACATCGCAGCGACGTGTTTTCTTTTCATGCGAGAATAACCTACACCCTACAAATCATCACCTACCAACAGGTCAAACCTTTACATGAGAATTACATAAATTTATCTTTCTTGGTTATACAACACACTGTAAATATCAATAGTTAAATAAATGCAAAGAAAACAAACTATTCAACAGACTCTACGAAGTGGGTAGCCCGCCTTACGCTTCCCCGCTGGGTGGGCGGGGAGTTCAGGGTTGGGCGGGTGGGAAAAACTAAAAGATAGAAGAACTGCTGAATTCTAGCAGTTGAGAAAGAGAATACAAGAAAAGGGGAAAAGAGAGAGGTAGGATGAATAATTCTTCAGGCTAGGTCATTCTATTCGCAAGCTCCAAAAAAAAAGCCTGTGTTTCACATTTCTCAGTGCGTTTCATTGACAGGACAACGAACAGGTTTAACAAGGTAGGACTGTGAACAACGCTGTTATGCGACACCCATACATGCATGCACAATTTATAAAGGAAAAAACACAATTAGTTTGTTTTTTGTGGTTTGGTATTATACATGTAATTAAGTCACCAGAGATGCACGCATGCACGCACTGGCATAGCATCGCACACAGATCAACACACACGCACACACAGAGGCCTACGATACACTTAGATGCACGCAAAGGATTGCTAACGTCTTCATCGACCTCTGCCGCCTCCGTTCAGGCGTCACACAAATTGTGTCACAATCTTTCGTGAGCCTCCAAGCAAATGAAAAAGAAATGTAAACAGAAAGATCAAAGAAATAGGTAGATGAAGGGAGCTTAATCGCTTACATCGATATCGTTGTGTGCGGTGAGGAAAAGGAGCTTGAAAACGAAGATCGCGCTACAGGCTGAGGAGAGGTCTGTGTGTACGTGTGTGTGTGTGTGTGTACTAGTTATATTACTTTACTTCCGGAAATCGATCCACGTTTTTTTTTGGTTGTTTTCTATCGAGACCCGCTTCGGTATTTACCGTGTCCTTCGAATGCTTTTCTTACCGGCTTGTGCGGCTCCCGTCTCGAGTCTCCGCAGCGGCAGTAAAACAAAGAGAAGCGAAGAGGAGTAACTCTTGTACTCGACTTCGGCGAAAGAATCTTTTCCGCGCCGAAAGCCGCTACGAAAACGGACTCACGTTGTTTTGCGTTTTCTATTATCACTTTTTGATGTGTGTGTGTTATTGATCGTTGCCCGTCTCTGCGTACGCACACGTCGGCATGTGCAGAGATCCAACGCCACATTAAGAATAGTAAAAGTATAGCTACAAAAGAAACGGAAAATAAGGCCGAAACTGCGCATTTCAAACCTGAGGGCAACACGGACGCCGAAGACATTCGGGAGCGAAGTATGAACACACAACAACTCATTTCCCTTCCAGCAAGACGCTACTCGTCTAAAAAAACCGGAGGGAGATTAAAGTCATTTCTGCGGTGTCCCAGCGATATCCCTCTCGTTTCGTCGCGCAATTTCGGTTTCTTCAACGATCTCCGTTGATGCAACAACAAAAAAGAGCATCCACCACCACAACAGAAATCTTGGATCGATTAAGTGGTAAATGAAAGAAAGCGATGTGTTTTGAGTTCAAAAAGGAAAATAGTTCCATAATAAGTGGGAAGTGAAGGGGAAAAAAGAACCAAAAAGGAAACGCTTGAATTATTCCGCGGGAGTCGCAGCTTACCGCATCTCTATTTGGCCTCTGAGCTGCGTAAACACCACTAATCACCCTTCTGCAGAAATAAACACAGAAGGGGAAAAGAGTAAACCACGCGTAAACAAAAAAAAAGACGAGTAAGAAGAAGAAAGATAAAGCGTTAGCGGGGTTTTCAAGTTAAAATAGATCGAAAGCGCGGCAGAAACAAAGAAGAAAGGAAGAAAGCAAGAAACCACAACTGAAGTTTTGTATGAAATCAGCATTCAATGACACCACATCCATTTGCCAAGAACAGCAACTGTGAGAGACTCGATAAGCAGTGGGGGAGAGACGCACGTGCTTCGCTCTGAGCGTGCGCAGTTCTGTCTCGACGCGTCTCCCATTCTTACGGTGCACTCGGTGACAAACAACAGCAACGACAAACAAAAACAGCAGACCACAAGGAGAAAATACAGTCAGGACAGCACGAACAAATGAGGAAAAGAAGTTGGTGAGTAGCTTCTGTTCACGTCTGCTCACCGAACCCGTGACAGCAAAGCTGGCACAGGACATGCGGAGAGGCGAGAAACAAACAGCTTAAAAAAAGGCCAATAACGAAGAAAGGAAGATGTTATTTAAGAGGCTTCGAAGATTCCGTGCGTTCTGCATTCCGTTGTCTTCTGCGCGTTTTTAGTTTAAACCGAACGGGAAAAAGACATCGACCGACGAGCGCAAAGATGAGGAAAAACAAAAGCAGCGACAAATGCCGATTCTAGGAAGCCTGCGGAGCTCTGTATCCGTTTAGCGTGATTTAAAAAAAAAGGATACCCCCACCAGCGTTGGAAGTATTTTTCGGCGGGGTTGCGGACAGATGGCTCATCATTTCGCCAAAAAAAAAACAAAAGAAGTTGCGCTCCGCAAAGCAAGAAGGAGACGACACTCTTTTCCCTTTCGCGTCTCTTTCTTACTTTGGTCTTACGTGTGTCAGCAGCAGCGCTCCACCTACGCACGTTTCACATCTCCTTTTCTGTGGTAGGCACTGCATTTTCCTATCTCACTCTCGCCAATTAACAACAGAGATGTAGGTGTGCGCCCTCTCTTCCACATTACAGGATGCCGTAGATGGTTGCCGTGGTACCGAAGCAGATGACGATGACACCGCAAACTAGCACAAATAGGGCACCGAAGAAGTCGAAGGCGCCGGCCTTCTGCAGGGTGAAGCCACCGCTGTAGATGAAGAAGAGCGACGGAAAGACGAAGGCGATGAAGGACCCAGTGAAGGAGCCGAGCAGACCGAAGACGGTGTTCACCTTCGGGATAAACAAACCGCACAGCAGCGATACCAAGCTGAGGAAGGTGCACAGCAGCGCATTCTTCCACCAGGCGACGGTGCGAATATCCCAGCCGACGAGGTGGTGCACGGCATCGCGGCAGGGCAGGATGTGGAGGGCGAAGGCGACACACAACTTTATGATAAGGCCCAAGTACGCGACAGCGAAGTAGTAATCCGTCAGGGGACGGTACATGCTCAGCAGTGAAGAGGCGACATCGGAGCCAAAGTCGGCGTAGGCGAAGAATCCTGCAAGCCAGTAAAAAACGGTGCAGATCAGCATGCTGATGAAACACTGCAGCTCAAAAAACCTCACCGACGGCTTTGTGGTCTCGTTGAACACCTGGTAAGCGTTCGAC